AGCAGCAGCTGTCCACGCAGACCACAGCAGCTAGCAGCAGCTGTCCACACAGACCACAGCAGTTAGCAGCAGTCTACAGCAGCCAGAAGCAGCTGTCCTTACAGACCACAGCAGCTAGCAGCTATCCACACAGACCACAGCAGTTAGCAGCAGTCCATAGCAGCCAGAAGCAGCTGTCCACGCAGACCACAGCAGTTAGCAGCTGTCCACAGCAGCCAGAAGCAGCTGTCCTNGACCACAGCAGCTAGCAGCAGCTGTCCACACAGATCACACGTCTACAGACCCGTCCACAGACGCAGAACAATGAACACAACTATCAACAAGCGGTCGCGGTCCGGTGTGACTTCTTTAGGTTCTACTTCTGTCCAGATCCCCGCTGGTTCTGCTCTGACGGAGCCCCGGAACCTGTGACGGCCTCAGAGGAGCGGAGGCGGCCTGGATCTCCTCCTGCGCGGATCCCGCTCCCTTCGCTTTGCGGGAACAGGTGGCCTTTCTAAGATGGCGTCCGAGTCTGCGCAGTTCCGGAAGGAGACGGTGTGTGTGACGTAACAGCAGGAGAAGTCTGCTATGTTTTGTTTTTTTTTGAACACTGATGAGCCTCACGTGGACGCGGGACCGATGGAGCAGTCTACGTCCCGGACGGGTTGATGCGGCACCGGGGCGCCCTCGGTGTGTTCTTCCTGGCAGAAGGTAACAGGCAGCAGCAGGGCACGTGCTGGGATGGTTTGGTGCTAGGTGGGCAGCCATTGCTGGGCTGGGCTATGGCCTGCAGCTAGCTAGGCTCCTGAGTTTTAGCAGAACACTCAGGTTCTTTCTCTCATTCTACGACCTTCCTGTTGAGACTGGAGCATGCTGACATCCTCACTAACAAACACACATCTTCACCATTTCACTGATTAGCAGCAGCTTCCAGCCACTGGCTAATGGCAGCTTTTATAGCTAAATCGAATCAAAAGGAGAAAAACAGTCAAAATGATTGTTAGCAGGGCGGCTTACAGGCTGAAGATCATGTCTCCTTGGTTTTTAATGTCACTGCGTGGCCTGTCTGTAGACCACCATCTTTAATACAACAAAGGGCTGCTAGCAGCTGTTAGCAGCTGTTAGCATGGTTCCAATGTGGAGGAGAAGCAGCATGTTTGACAGGCTGACTGCTTGATTAACTGTTTTTCTTCCTTTAAGCTTCACATTTTATAAAGTAGTTAGTTCTATAAGCTAAATAACAAACCATCTTATTAAATAGAAGACTAATATAACTAGCCTTGGCTACCTAGCGATTTGGCTACGTTAGCTGTGCTACCATCCAATTCTTGTTCAAATTTTAATCAAACTTCTAAGGTTTTGTAAAAAGTTAAATGTATAATAAACATTTTTGCATCTGATTTGCAAAGAATCAACCAGGTGATGCAAAGACTAATGTTGTTATTCACTGACGATGGATCGGCTGTTAAACATGGTCAAAAACCACCTTAAAGTTACCACAAAATCTGGTTTGGTGAAATCTAACTTGGTTTAAATGTTACTGTTCCTATTCCTGCAGAGCTTAACAAAAAATAAATAAATTTTCATTTCTAAATTTATTCTTATCATTAATCCTAAAAATGTACCCCAAAACAAAAATTGATGTTTAAAAAAAAGATACTTTCAACTGTCGTCACAGCCTCCATTGACCAAAATGACTTTATTAATTTGCAGTTGAATTTTAAAGCAGTACTAGTACCAATACGCTGCAGCCATGTTGTTCAGGTACTGCCTAAGAATCCTTTCAATACCAGTGATCAAATCTAAAATATGATTGGATTAAAGCAGATTAATTCATAAGCCTAATTTCTGCTACCCTCTAAAATCCGAGTTCTGTTCCTTACGACTGTTTCCACGCCACGCTAGCACGTTTTTCCTTCTCCTAGTGGCGATCTACAGTACTACTGCTCTCTAGAGGGAAACAAGCAAACCAACATGGCGGCGCCCGAAACATTCAGTAAGTTTGCAGAGAATCAGGCGAAGAAGGCAGCCTTTGGTTGTTCGGTTGTGCGTGCCATTTACACTAAACAGTTACCTCGGTT